AGATAGATAGATAGATAGATAGATAGATAGATAGATAGATAGATAGATAGATAGATAGATAGATAGATAGATAGAAAACAATCCAAATTAGATTATTAGCTCATAATTATGTAATTGCAGAGTTAAATAGCTTTGTCTTTTAGTGGTAAGCAATAATAAACATAAATAGAGTAATGGTACACAATATTGCAGGTTTTTGTTTTTTAGTATTTTATTTGTCGTTTGTTTCTTGACAAACTGACTTGTGTTCAGGTCAGCTGCAGTTCAGAAAGAATATCCACGTCAGCGTTTTTCCGACGGACTTGAACGCATCTTGGAACGTCAGTCTCATTAAACATCTGTCCCAAAACGAACGCAGTTGCTAGTGTTTTTCTTTAGCCACCCCCTGACAGCTAAATCAATCCTCGTGTCGTGTTGTGTCACATTTATTTACCTGTCGCGCGCGTGTTCGACCTTACTGTCCGATAATTAAGGTGGGTGAACGCACGTGAACGCCCCTTTAACCACAAACACACTTCACACGTGTCCATTCAGGAGTTGCACGTGCTTTATTCACCCTCACCATGTCGGATTCCTCTTTTTTCTCCCTCCTTTGAAGCTTCCGGTTCTGACCAGGCTGGTACCGAGGTTCTGTTCGGGCCAGAGTCCATGTGTGGGCCTGAGCTTTTCACCCTGTTGGTTCGTTTTAAAATCTGTTTGGGTTGTTAAATAACACAATTAAAAGGCTCGGCTTGAACACGTTCTGTATAACTTCTGAAGTCAATTCTTCAAAGTTTAGAAAATACATTAAATAAAGTTCAGTAAACGAGAAGTGCATCTAAATATGTGTTGTTAGTTGTGTAAACTAACAAACAAACGAAAGTACATTTTCTTCTGATCTTCAGGAACATGCCTAAAGGGGTAGTTCAAATATTTTAAAGCGAGGGTTCCTGGCAATGTTATGAGCAATCAATATCTTACCTGTTGTAGGTGGATTTCTAAACTGCCTCCATTCACAGCAACAGTCCTTTTAACTTTATATCCAAATCTGATTTCTAGATAAAGTCAAGTTTGGAACAGCTAAAGATAAGCAACTCCCAATTTCAATAAATTTGTTTACAATTTCCAGCTAACAGACGAGGCTTTGCCTGCCTTCAGGTGTTTGGTTGTGCTCTAATGTGAGTGCTGACTGTTGTTTTCCTGTTTTGCTCTGCTCTGTTGATCAGTTTTTAGCTACCATTCTGCTACTTTTGACTTTCAGCTGGTCAGTAGCCACTTTTTGCATTAAGCCAGACTTTTGACAGCTGCTTAGCTCGCCTTTTGATGCTTATAGTCATTTAACTTGTTTTTTAAATGACTTTCTGTTTATAGCTAGCATTTGCTACATTTATTTTATATCTAACCCTTTTACTACTTTAAGTTAATACTCGACTACTTTTAGCTTTTAGATACTTTTAGCAATTTGTTACCTTTAGCTTACTTATAACCTTTACCTAGCCTTTTGACACTTTTAATCTTTTAGCTCAGGGGTGCTCTTACCCCTGGGCCTCGAGGGTCACTACCCTGCATGCTTTAGTTGTTTCTCTGCTTTGACACTCCTAATTTGAAAGATTGAGTGATTTACAACCTTTTCCAGAATTTGAAGGCACACTGAAGAGCAGGGAAACCACTGAAACATGCAGGATAGTGGCCCTCGAGGAACCAGGTTGGGACCACTGTTTTAGCTAATTGCCTGCTTCTTTGAGCTTAAATAACTCAGTTTAATCTCCTTCAGCAAAGTCATTATGCATTCATGCTTTTTTTAACAAACAGAAGTGTCATTCACACAACTGGAAGATGATAGCAACCAGGAACCTTGTTGATTACAAAATACATTCAACTAACATCAGCATAATGGTACTTCTTTCAGTTATCTAACTGTTAACAATGGTGTACCACAAGGTTCAGTCTTAGGTCCCACCCTCTTTACAATCTACATAGGTAATGTAGGTCAGATCATCCCTGACGCATCCTTACATGCTGATGATACAGTTGTTTATTGTCGAGCTAAAACAGTCGCTAAGGTTTTCCAGCTTTTGCAATCTGCTTTTGACATCATCCAGTCTGATTTACTCCGTCTCAAACTTGCTGACAAAACCAAAGGGATGCTGTTTTAAAAACAGGAAGTCGGTCCCAGCAGTTCTTCCCTCGATTTTATCCTCAAATGGTGTTCCTATTGAGTTTGTCGATTCCTACAAATATTTGGGTATTTTGGTCGATTCGCATCGCTTTTTTTAAGTCCCACGTTGAAAACTTGGTAAAGAAACTGAAAGTTAAACCGGGTTTCTTTTTCAGAAATAGATCCTGTTTAACTCTGAACGCTAGGAAACACTTTGTAACTGCGACTTTCCTTCTCTCCACTGATTACACTGACATCATTTACATGAACGCTCCTACAAGCACCTTGCAGATGTTGGATGCTGTCTATCATGGTGCACTAAGATTCATAACTAGTTGTGATTATCGTACCCACCACTGCACCCTGTATTCACTGGTTAACTGGTCATCATTAACTTCACGCAGACTCTCTCACTGGTACATTTTCATCTTTAAATCACTTCTTGGTCTGTTGCCTTCATACATCTCCTCCTACATGTCACTGCGTGAGTGCAGCTACAGCGTGCGCTCTCAGGACATTATTACCTGCAGTGTTCCCTCAGTGCGGACTGAACTTGGCAAAAGGGCCTTCTCCTACTCCGCTCCTGTTTCCTGGAACATCTTGCATAAAACATCTGTTAAGTTTTTGGCAAAAAAACAACACAGACATGTTTCTGTTTTTAGTGTTTTGTATCGCTTTATAATGTAGCTGTTTTTCTTCTTTTTATATTGTTTTCTTCTATTTATTTTTGTCAATTTATATGCCTTCTTAAGATTGTCTACTGTTGTCGTCATTCTTTGTCCTAAACAGGTCTCTCTTGTAAATGAGTCTTCGAGGCTCAGTGAGACTAAGCTGTATTAATAAAGGTTGAATGAACTGTTCAAAGTGACGTTACTGTA